GGGTGGGGGCTCCAGCTGAGGGCCTCGGGCAGGAGCGGCCGGGCGGAGGGGGCGGGGGACAGAGGCGAGCAGTGTGTTGCAAGGCCCGCCGCCGCCGGCGAGGGTGGAGGGCCTCAGGGGTGCAAGCATGGACAGCGTCCTGCAGACCTTGCCGCCATGCGCTCGTGCAGAGCCACCCCCGCGGCTGTGGCTGATTGACCCCGTTTCTGGCATCCGTAACGGCCCCCCCCCCCACACACGCGCATTCAGTCCCCTTGGCGCCCCTGTGTGCCCCGTCTTGTTCAAGCGGAAACTCACGGCCGACCACAGAGGCGTTCAGGAAGCCCGTCGGTGTCACCGCGCTGCTGACGCCAGCCTGCACAATGCACGACACACACTCTGTCACCGCGCCCGCGCACGTCCATCCCAGCCTGAAGGGGTACGTCGGGCAGGGGAACGGCGCCGGCAACGACGACGTCGTGTCCAGCAGCGTCTGTATCATCTGGCAGAACGCCGGCCCCGTCTGGAGCAGCCTCCGGCCGGGCGCTGCCGCCGCCTGCGACGCGAGCTTCATGCCTGCGGCCCTCATCGCCGCAGCGCGCGCCTTGAGGGCGCCCATGACGCCGAGGGTCGAGTACTCTGGGCTGCAGACGCCGCGATTGTTGGCGATGGCCTCGATGAGGTGCATGCAGGCGGTGATGGCATTTTCGGTTTGGTCTGCCAGGACAATCACCTTGAACTGCCACTGGGCGGTGGGCTGCGTGCGAGTAAGAGTGGTAGGGGTTAATGCAAGGCGCGGGTAAGACTGGGCGGTTTTGGGACGGTGGCAAGAGCCGGCTCAGGGATGCAGCCGCGGCAGACGGGCAGGAGGGGGGACTCGGCGCTGCGCAGCAAACGTTTGTGCGCCTTTTGCATCTACGGCTGCGTCAAAAGTCCTAAGTGAGCAGGCAAGACCCCAGCCTTCGAAACGTGTAGCCAATAATCCCCTTGAAATTTGGGTTGCGCCCAGAGCAGTCTGACCCTTTGGCTGGCTGCTTGCAATCCTGTGCACCCTAGGGTTGGCCCCACCGCCCGGGGGAAAGCCCTAGGTGGTTGGCGCGGCCAGCCTCCGCCACCTCCTGTGAATAACCTGCCCTGCGGGACACTCTAGCCCACACGCATACATGCGAGCATTTGCCCCCCTGCATGCTGATATACGCATGCCCCTCATCACGTAGGCGCAAAAGACTCACCCCGAAAATGCCGTCGGTGCGCAGGCTGGGCGTGGTGGTGCAGTTGATGATGATGACGTCCGTGACAGATGTGAGTGAATTGAACGGGTTTGTCATCGTGGTCGACAGGCCCCGCAGCCACGCCAGGAGTGACGGCACCGCCGCCACTTGCACCGCAGGGTCGCACGCAGCGGTGCCGTACTGGTCGCTCGGCTGAGTCAGCGTGAGGGCGAACTCCGCTGAGCCCGCGAGCGGTGGCGGCGGAGGAGGGGACGGCGGGGGCGGGGGCGGTGGCGGCGGGGACGGCGACGGCGATGTGGATGGCACTGGGGAAGGGGTGGGCGACGCGCCTGGCGATGGGTTTGGTGACGGCGACCCGGACGGAGGCAACGGCGACGGCGACGGGCCCGGCATCGGCGACGTCGATGGGGCAGGTGAGGGGGACAGGGATGGCGACGTCGACGGGGGCGGCGACGGGGACGGGACCGGTGGCTGCTTCGTCTCGACCCAGTTTGAGACGGCGCCGCCGTAGGTCTGGCCGCCGACGACCGTCTCGGTCTCGGCGACGCCGGCGTCCCACAGCGCCACGCCGCCGAAGATTGTCGGGTACCTGGCCACGAGCCGGTCTATGGTGGCCTTGGCCGACGTGATGTTGACATAGCCGCCGCGGGGGGCGACGTAATCGGCGGCCGGGAGGCCAAGCAGCACCTCCACGCCCTGGTTGATGCTGATGTTCTGGGCCCATGTCACCCTGCACAGCGTGTTTGTGTGTGTGTGCGTGAGTGTGTGTGTGTGTGTGTGTCGTGTGTGTGTGTGCGCATGATTGCGTACGTGTTTTAGAGCGTAACAGCACGCATGTGTGCATATCAACATGTGGGTGTGCATGTGTGCATGTGTGCAATTGTGCGCGTTGGAACAGCACCACTCATTCTAAGTGCCAGGCTTCTGTCCGCTGGTGTGAGCGCATCGCAAGCAGCCCAGGGACCACCAACCAGGCGCCGCGCCCAGCCCCCCAGGCGCGCGCGCCCACGTGAACCCCACCAGGATCCAAAGTTGAAGAGCTCCGAGTCTGATGTGCAATTGGCGTTGAAGAACTGCGGCCACAGGTAGTCAAACCACCCCGCCCTCAGCGCGTCGGCGAGCGCGAGGTTTGGGAGCGGGCAGGCCGGGGCCGCGGTGTTGACGTAGCGCCGCGCCCCCGGGTTGAGGGTCAGGCTGGTGTACAGGGACCGCAGCGCATTGGTGAGCGCCGTGTAGCCGGTGCCTGACACCGCCTCTGGCTCTGCCGCCAAGGGGGTGCGCCCGATTGACACCGGGGTCACTGTGCCGCCGATGATTCCGCCGTAGATGGCCGCGAGGGACCCCTCGATATCCAGGTCGATCCCGTCGATCACCGCATCCCCAAACGGCCGCGGCCAGCCCGCCGCGGTGCCGCCCAAGAACATCTGCCAGAGGACGGTCGCAAAAGCGGCCGCCTCTGCGTTGGAGGAGAAGCCCTGGTTGGCGGCGGAGGCGCCGATTGAGAGCAGAATGCGCGTGCCGCGGGCCTGGCAGAGCTTGATGGCCTGGCCGATGTCGGGGCACTGTACTCAGCACAGAGCCAAGTGGGCCGCGAAGGGGTTGGGTGGAAGCAATGTGGGTGGAAGAGAGTTCAGCGCGAGCGGCGGGGGAGTCTGCAGGGACAGACGGCGCCACCTATTGGATTTGTACGGTACGCCGCAGTCCTGCTGACGGGCCCATGTTTTGCAGAGCAGGTAGCAGCTTCAAAAAATATGAACTGAGTCTGTGCAGCAAGAGCCACAGCCGGTCGCAAAGGACTCAAGACACATAGACAAGCAAATCCACGATTAACCCCAAATGCACGCACCTTCAGCAGCTGGCTGGTGGGGAACTGGGGGTCGCCCAGCGACGCAAACGTGGTCCGGCAGTGCTTGGCAAGGCTGAGGTTCGGCAGCGGCTCGCCGTTGGGCCCCTTGCCGGCAAACGGGTCGTTGAAGCTCGACAGGAAGGCAATGTTGATGACGTCATACTTCCCGGTGGCGTTGGCGCAGTAGTAATCCAGATCTTTCTCGACGAAGGTCTGGGGTTGAAGGTGGGGTAGGGGCGAGGGAGGACGCGTGGTGCAACGTTGCAATTCAGCGTGTGAAGGTGGCAGCTGTTGGCAACGTTGCTGTTTCAGAAGAATGTGGTAACGCAGGCAAGAGAGTGGACCGGAGCGAGAGTGCTGGGGCAGGGTTGGCGAGTCCTTGAAGAAGAGAGGGTGCAGGCATGCAGGTGAATGGGCGCCGCCCCAGGGTTGCGCGGCGCCAAACCACCCGCTTCGGTTCGCTCTCCGTTGTGTTCAGGAGGGTGCGGCTGCCCCAACGGATAGTGGGGCAGCTGCCCAGGGTTCAAGCAGAATCCGGCTGGGTGCCCGGCCAGCTGCTGGCTGGTGGAGATCTCACCGTGCCGTACCCTGCAGACAACGCGTTCTGGCCCCTGCAATCGGGCGGATGCGCAGAAAGGGGCCGAGGGTAGTGAGATAGGCGGAGCAGGCGGGCCCGGCGGGCACAGGCAACTCTGCTGGCCAAGCGGTGTCCACCTTCCCCTCAGCTCGCCCCTTCCAAACCAATGTCTCACTCTCGCTTCACTCTTGCATACAGGGCAGCGTCCCTCCACCTGCCACTGCGTAATCTCGCTTCGCCCCGCCACGATTCCCCTCCCCTGCAACAAACGCCGTCCCCTCGCTCGCCCCACATCCCAAACTCGCCCCCCCCCCCCGGCGCCCTACACGGGCACTCCGCCTCCACCCTCTTGCCTGCACCCACCACCAGACCCCACCCGTTTGCCAATCAACTCAACACACAAGCAAGCATGGTGACTGCAGAAACAGGGCAGGGCTCTCACCAGTAAACGACCGTCTTCAGACGGATCTGGGACGTCGGCGGAGACGGCGGCGGAGGCGGTGGTGACGGTGAGGCCTTGGGAGGAGGCGGCGGCGACGGCGGGCCCAGGTTGCCGGCTGCAGGCAGGTGCAGAGGCGGGGAGAGGGTATGAGGGGGCAGCTGCAACAACCTGAGGTGTGCAGCCAGGCGTGAGGCAAACACCATATCATATAATCCCCGGCACAAAATCCACTGGCCTGCAGCCCCACGGATGTTTGCAGCAGTCAGGGCATTGCTTTTAAGCATCTTTGCAAAGGGTTCGCCCCTTTTCGGGCCCGCCTGGTGCCCCCGGGCCGACTCTCAACAGCCAGGCGCATCGCCAGCCTTGCCGTTGCCGTCTGATGGCTGCAGGCGCGGGGAAACCCTCAACAGACAGCGAGCGCTTTGACGGATCACGCCGCCCGGCCGCTGCGCGTCACCCCTGCAGCCTGCCGGTCTGGGCTGGTGGGCGGCCCAGTGCTGCAGCGACGGGCCACCAGCCGCGGCAGGCGTGAACACAAACACACACTCACACTCACACTCACACTCACACTCACACTCTCTCTCACACACATACACACACACGCGCGCCCGCGCGCGCACGCACACACACACACGCATGCACGCATCGATGCACACAAATACACACATACACACACATGCACACACACACACACGTACACACACACACACACACAAAACGCCACAAGACGCGCCTGCCCACTCAATGCTGCAAGCTGCATGCATGAGCGCCCTCACCCCCACCCCCCCCCAGCGCCCACTCACGGAAGCTGAAGCACGCGCTGAAGACCTCCTGCAGATACGGCGCCGTCGCCGACATCCCGCACACCGCCGTCACCGACGACACCGCCAGCAGCGGGTGGTACCCGACGGGCCCGCCCGCGTCCGTCTTCGGGCCCCAGCTGACCACGCCGCTGGTCAGCGCGTTGGGGTCGCCGCACGTCAGGTAGCGGCCCGTGTTCGTGATGAACAGCAGGCCGACGACGAATATGCCGTTCTGGGAGTTGTAGGCAGCCATCACCGTGATGTACTCGCCGATTGCCATCACGACCTCCTCCTTCCTGCAGCTGGGGCACGCCGCGCACGCCTGGCCGTCTGCGCCGACGCTGCTGACATAGCTGAAGGATGCGATGTTGAGCGTCCTGGTGTCGGTGTAGCACGTCACTTTCGTCACCCGCGCGACGCCCAGGCACGCCGGCTGCGACAGCAGCGCTTTCGGCATATCCCCCGCCACATCAGCTTTGGCATTTGCGGCCGCCTGCAGCGACGCCGCGTTGGCGACCGCGGCCCGGACGCCGGCAGGCGCGGCCCCGCCGGCCGCCGCGCCGCCGGGCTGCTGCGTCAGTGACGGGGACACGTAGGCGGTCCCGTTGGCGCCGCCGATCGCAGAGCGCACCTCGCGGGCGGACGCCACGTCGAGCGCCTCGCCCTCGGGCACCTTGAGGCGCAGCGCTTTGAACGCCTCCCCAAGGCTGACAATGCTGGCGGCGGGGTCTGTAGGGGGCGGCGGGCAGGCCGCCGCTTCTTGGGTGAGGCGTCGCGATGCAGCGGCGGTGGGGATGTTGTGGTGCGCGGCGGTGGTGGCGCCTGCGCCGGCGTCTTGGTCCGCCACGGGCGCGTCGGGCGGCGGAGGCGGTGGCGGTGGGAACCGCGGCGGAGGCGGCGATGACGGTGGTCGCGGGTGGGTCGGAGGCGACCCGCTATCACCTGGATGATATGAGGTTGAGGACCAAAAAGGATTGACGCTCGAAACAGTTCCTCAGACGGCCACATCAGAGCGGTCACTGCTGTTGCCACGCAACCAAGGGGCTCATGTCGCACCTGCACACGCCCTGAACATGAGCGATGAAATCATGAGTACAGTAAAGACAGTCGCGGCCCCTCTGGCGAAGCAGGACGGAGCCATCCTGCTGGTGAGTTCCTGGGAGACACCCGTCCGATCACGGGTGATCGCGGTCTATAATGCTTCTTATACTCATGCACGTTCCAAATGCGTTACGTCCGCCGTTGAGCGATCTCATTGCTCATGATCGTTCCACAAGCAGTCTCATTGCACAATCGTGCGCGCTGGTTGGTAATCGAAGACATGCACGGTGAAAATTTTGCGGCAGGTTTCTGACTCGACGTGAAGCGTCTGCTGTTGCGTTTGGCGATGAGCACGGCGCGCCCAGCCACTCCCGATGAAGCTCGCGGGTTCCGACGCATCGACGTGGTGGGCGTGCGGGAGGGCGGCGGGCTCCCGACACACACAAGTGAGCAAGCAGGATATTCATTGACAAACGATTTTTATGGACAAGCTCGTCAACAAGTTGCACTTTGAGGCCCTGGCTGCAACTCATGTTGCCATCCTGTGTGGGGTGTGGGAGAGCTGGGACACCAGGCGGCCGGTTGCGGCACCAGGCCTGGCTGACGCAGCACCTTCTTGGGGAGCCAGGATGCCACCTACAGCAACGCACACCAGATGTTGGCGTGCGCATCTGCTCCCACTGGTGGGGCTGCTGGGTTGCCCTTCAGGCATGCACCGCGCCAGCGGTGTAGCTGCGCGCATGCTCGATTCTGGTTGGCATGTTTTGACAATCCAGCACATTTGCGACCGTAGGGAAAAGAGCACACGCATGGGTTCATTGCTGAGACATGCAACGGCTGGTCGGGCTAAACGTCATGCATGCTTTGGGCCCAACCAGGCTTGCAGGGGTGAACAGCGCTGGAGGCATGCGGATCCCGCTACTGTAACCAACAGCTCTTCGCTCAATCGTTGGCTCAAGGGAGAAAACGGCGTGTCAAGCAGGGGTGAAAACCCCATGCACAGGCTGTTGACCCTGCTCAACACGCCCCCACGAATTGAATTGCGCGCTGGCCGTCCCCTCAACACCAAAAGGCTGGAGCGAACCCTCCTGTGTGCGGGTGCGCCACTGCACACATGCTGTTGTCGGGCTGCTTGTAACCCAGCAGTTGGCACGTCAACGTTCCAGCGTTTGCAACAGGGAGCTGCGGCGCAAGGGCGAGGCGTGCGCACTGACCATATTCCTTCGCTATGGCAACGCCCCAGAAGTACCAGGAGTGCTTTGGGGCTCAGGGATGGACACTTTGCCTGATGGCATCCCTGAGCGCTACGCGTGCACGCGTCACTACGCATGAATGCCACCCTCTTGACTCCGACAGATGGGATTGCCCGCACAACAAGGCGCGGCCATGTGACTTGCATGGCCATGCACGCTGCGACAAAGGAAGCCAAAACGCTAATGCTATGCTGCGCTGAAAAGGAGCGACCGTTGGCCCTTTATAACCCTTGTCCTGTCACCCGCTATCCGACAGTGCTGGCTCTCGCACTGGGAGCAGCCGAAGCAGGCTGCTCCTAGGCCAAGTATGGAGCGTCACCAAGTGCGTATAGCACTTGCGGCCCTGGTGCTGGCGGTCTCTGCATCCTCAGACCACCGAGTTTTTGGAGCCTTGTCGCTGGCCCTGTTCTTCCTGGCCGTGGTGCCGGTGGTATCACAGAGACAGGCAGCCGCTGGAACCAGCGGTCGGGCCCGCAGCCCCGCTCCGCATGGCGTCGCCGCTGCTCGCGTCAGTCGCGGCCTGGGGTGCGCCGAGGCCCGCGCATGGTTGGCCCTGCTGCTCTGGCTGGCCCAGCGCCAGGCCTCATTCTGGGCGATCAGCATCCTTTACTTGTTTGTCGTCCTGCTGCCCATCGAGAAGGAGGCAGCTGACGCAAGCATGCAGGCTGAGCGGGAGAGTGCCCCAGATCACTGGGCAGCAGCGGCCCCTGTGCAGAGCGACGCTGGCGAGACGGCCGCCGCAGACCGCGGAGCAGACGCGGATGCGGCCGCCCTGGCCGCTGCGGCTGGCGCAAACCGCACAAAGTGCGAGGCGAGCGCCGCGTTGGGGCAAGCAGGCGGCGGCGCCAGCGGCGCGCCGCTGCGCGGCAAGGACCAATCTGCAGTGCATCATGGCCTGGCGGGCAGCACATCCAGCAGGTGAGGGCGGGGCCGCCAAGCAGCCCTGTGGTTGCGCGCTGCACGCAGGGCCGGAACTGTGCCGCATGCGGGTCCTCGCAGCCCGTGTTGCCGGGCTTGATTGTGGCGCTGTGCTAGCAGCGACAGGGCAGTAGCACGGCCCACGAGTGCATGTGCTTCGCAGTTTCACGATTTGTGAACTTCTATGCAAACCCCAAATCAACAACCTCGCAGGGCCGCCGCAGCAGCAGCGGCTGCTGCCGCCGCGCCCCTGGCCTCATTGCTGGTCGCCCACCGCGGCGCCTGCAAGGGTGCGGCGGCGATCGCTGCCAGCGACCCGGGTGCGGAGTCGCCAGCAGCGGAAGAGGCGGCGGCTTTGCATGACGTTGCAGCATCCGGCGCGGGGGACGAAGAGTCCTGGGCAGATGAGGACGCCGATGTTTTTGAGGACTCTGCATCCTTGCGCCAGGACTCTGCCGCGGTGCTGCTGCCACCGCTGCAGCCCAGGGCACCCCTGGCATACTCGGATAGCGTTGATGCGGGAGAGGGCGCCTCGCCGGGGCCGGCAGAGGTGGCTTCAACGACGGCCTTTCCTGTTGCAGCCGCGGCAGCCGCTAACTGCAGCACAGGCGCTGGGGCGGCTGTTGATAGCTGCGCGGCCGATGTTGCGGCGGCGACAAAAGCAGCAGGGGCAGCTGTGCCGGCCACTGTGGCAGCCCCAACAGCGGAGGCAGGCGGTCTCAGCTCCGCGCCTGACAAGGGCGCCATCCCGCCCGCACCGCCGCTGCTGCCGGCGCTCCTCGACCCGCATCTGCTCACGGCCGCGGGGCCGGCCGCTTTCGAAACTCTCAGGGAGGACGCAGTTGCGCCAACGGACGAGGCAGCAGCGGCCGATGACCCCGTTGCATCTGACGAGGCGCACGACGAGTTTTGGGGGCAGGGAGACGAGGAGATATTTGAGGACTCAGCGCCCCTGCGCCAGGACTCGGCCGCAGTGCTGATGGGGCGGCCGCTGCCGCCGCTCCGGCGGCCGCAGCCCTTTCAGCTGCTGCAGCCCCTCGACAACTCTCCTTGTGACAGCTCGCTTCGGCGCAACGACAGCTCGAGCGGCAGCAACACAGAGGAAGGCGGCGCCCTGGGGCCGAGTGAGCGTGCTCTCGCGGCCGCCGTCCCTGCCGAGGCTTTAGAGGCCGCACTTGCCAGCGGTGGTGGCAGCGTCGTCGGCGGCGGAAACTCAGTCGCAGCATCGGATACAGCTGCACCCGTGGCCGGCCCATCGGTGGCCACAGCAACGGCAGCTGCCTTGGGCGCAGCTGTAGCGAGCGCAGCAGCATGCCATGACGGGGCTGTGCCCGGCGTGGCGCCCGGGGCTGCTCAGCCGGCTTTGCAGATGGTGCCCTCTGCCGCTGAGGACTCCTCTTGCAAGGCAGCATCGCTCGCCGTGCAAGGAGGGGTGGAGGACCAGGGGCAGGCCCCGCCGCCAGCACCGGCGCCGCTAGATCTGCACCGCCGCGCGGCCACGGCGCCAGGTGGCGCTGAAGCGGACAAGCTGGTGGCGGCTGCCAACAAGGCGGGCGCGTTGGATGAGCCCGTTGTGTCCGAAGAGGCATGTGATGAGTTTTGGGGGGAGAGAGATGAGGAGATATTTGCGGACTCTGCGAATCTGCGCAAGGACTCGGCCGCAGTATTGATGGAGCGGCCGCTGCCGCCTCTGCCGACACTGCGGCCCCTGCAGCACCTTGAACCCCTGGACGACTCGGATGGCAGCGAAGCAGGCGACGGCACGCCGTCGCCGGCGACCGTCGAGGTCGCGTCGGCGCGGCTCCGCGCCGCGCCAGACGCGGACGCCGCGCCGCCCGCGCCGCCGCTGCTGCCGGCCGGTTTGGTCGCTGAGCTGCTGGGCGCAGATGCGGCATCCGAGCCTGGTGGCGACAGCCAAGACGAGAGAGACGGCGCTGCAGCCACATCTGCAGCTGCGCCCCCGACAGGCAGTCAGTCTGCGCCGGGCGACGCTTTGGGCACGGACGCCTGCTTTGGCGATGATAAGCTCATCTTGCAGCAGCAGCAGCAGCAGCAGCAGCAGCAGCAGCAGCAGCAGCAGCAGCAGCAGCAGCAGCAGCAGCAGCAGCAGCAGCAACAACAACAGCAGGAGGAGATGGCAGGCGGCTCCACGCCCCAGGCGTCTGCGGCGCCGGGCGCCGCGCTCGCAGGCGCCGTTGGTGCTGGCGCTGCAGCGGGCGCGGCGCACGGGCGGCCGCACGCCGCTGAGTCCACGTTTCGTGTGTCAGAGGCCGGCGGGGACCAGGTGTCAGCGGTCGAGCTGCCTGCGGCCGCGGGCGCAACACCGCCATCCGACCCTGCCGCCTCAGGCGCCTTGCCGCCTGCGGCGGCTGGGGCCGGCGTGGGCACGGCGCGCAGCTTAGAGGCTGGCAAGGGCGAGCCAGGGCGGGCCCTGGCCTCTGCACTGGGCCCGGCGGGCGCAGACGCCTTGGGGATGGCCGCCGCAGAGGAGCGCAGCGAGGTGGCCGTTGGCGCAGGGTCTGCTAGGTGGGTGGGCTGCATCAGCTGGCTGACAGACCCTTGTTGGATGGGTTGTGGGGCGTGCTGTGCGCGGCGACAGCCCCGCGGGGCTGCGCCAGCCATGTATGACCCGTCAGGCATTTCACATGCATTTCGCGCCGCCAGCTTCACCTCTCTTGCGCACGCAACGTCTCCCTCCCTCCCGCTTCTCACTCTTGAACGGAACCCGCGTCTGCGACGCACCCACCCCTCCCCCATTTATTGCGTTTCGCAGCAGCTCGGCAGCGGGCGCCGCGGACGACGACCCTGGTGCCCCTTGGCAACAGAACGTCGGTTTTGCCCTGGCACCAGCCGCCGACGCCGTCGCCGCAGGCGCAGGTGCAAGCCACCAGCGGGAGGCGGCGGCGGCGGCTGCTGGGGCGGCCGACGGCTGGAGTCAGGATCAGTCTCCTCAGTCTCTCGCCCCTTCAGACGGCAGGACCGGGCATGGCAGCCAGCCACCAGCTCCACAGCAGGCGAGCCAGGGCCCGCCGCCGCCCCCCCTGCCGGCCAGCGAGGGGCCACCCCTCCCCTGGCCGCCGTTTGCACCGGCACAGGCTGCCGCGCCGGTGCCCGGGCCACGGCCGCCGGCGCCGGCGCTGTTGCTGCCGCCGGCGCTGCTGAACTCGCACCGCCGCTCGTCTGTGGGGGCGGCTGCGCTGGGCGCAGGCGGCCTGGGGGTCGCCGCTGCTGCCGCTGTCGCAGAGCACGAGGAAGAGGAGGATGTGCAGCAAGAGGGCTGGCTCCAGGGTGGGGGGGCAGGCGAGCAGACGCAGCAGCAACGGCGGCATCAAGGTGTTGAGACTGAGGAGCAGCAGCCGCAGCATGTGCAGGAGCAGGAGCCGCAGCAGGAGCGGCAGCAGCCGCAGCAGCAGCAGCAGCAGCAGGAGCCAAAGGAGGAGCAAGAGGTGGTGCACGAGCCGGCTGTTCTGCCATTCGATTGTGCCCCTCTACCACCTGTCGGCGTCTCTGCTCACGAGACATCCCAGCGTGCGCCAGGTGGGCCGGCGGCAGCGGGCAGCGCGCCCTCGCCCCCGGCTCCGCCCGGGCCGGCAGACGGCGGCCCCGGCGCGACGTCACCGCAGCGAGCATTGCCGGCCGCATCTGCGGCGCAGCGCCTCGGGGATTCGGCGCTGCTGCCGCCGCCGCCGCCGCAGCAGCAGCAGCAGCAGCAGCAGCAGCAGCAGCAGCAGCCACGGTCAGGGGTGCACCGCTACCTTGATGCACCACGGCCCGGCCGCATCCTGGGGGCGGACCAGCAGCCGGAGGACGTGGCGTGGAAACACTGGCAGCCGCCTCAGGAGCAGCAAGGAGACGGGCAGCAGCAGGGGCAGGACCAGCAGCAGCAGCAGCGGCAGCAGCAGCAGCAGCAGCAGCAGCAGCCCGAGCGTGGACACGCTGAGGGCGAGGACAGGAGACCCGCAGATGCGCCCCCAGCGCACGCGCAGGCGCCACGCAGCCGCGAGCTGGCACCGCCGCTTGCACCTCCTCTGCTGCCGGCGCCGCCGCAGCTGCACAAGCGCGCAGCCGCGGCTCCGCCAGTGGGCACGGATCCTCCTCGGTTGCGGCCAAGCCCTGACGGGCTGCCCGCCCCTGCAGTGGGCGCGGCCAGCGGCGACGGGTGGTTGCCCCTGCAGGACTCCCGCGCTGCAGCACCGGCGCCGAGCCCGCGCCCTGCAGAGCCTGCCTCCACGATGCGGCCGCTTGGGTCGCCACTACCGCGCGCGCTGCCGCAGCCGCACGCAGGCGCAGGCTGGACGGCGGGCGGCAGCCCGCGGGCCGAGTCTGTCGGCAGCTGGTCTGATGACGACGCCGCCTTCTCCATCGACCAGCACAGCTGCTGGAGCGACTCTGAGGCTTCAGTCGCGCTCGGCGCTGCCACAGGCGCCGCTGCCGCTGCGCAACAACAACAGCAGCAGCAGCAGCAGCAGCAGCAGCAGCAGCAGCCGTACAGTCGTGCCCGGGGGTCGTTCGCATTCCGCGCCCCGGCCGCCGCGGCCGCTGCGGACGGCAGCCGCCCTGCGCCCTATTCGCCAGCCCTCAACCCCAGCAACAGCAGGGGCTCCTGGCCTGCCGCAGGGCTGGAGGGCGGGGCCGCCGCTTCGTCGGGCGACCGTCTCGGCGCCGCGCGGCAACTGGCTGCGTCCGCCCCTGCCGCAGCCGCCTCGCCCGTGCCCGTGCCCGTGCCCGTGCACGCGGCCGCACGCGCCGCGCATGCGCCCGCCGCGGCCCGCACGGGCGCGTCCTCCCCCTCCCCGACGCCCTCGCCCGGCGGCCCCGGCCGCCCGCGCTCGCGGTCGGCCAGCGACCGCTTTGCCGACCCTCCGGAGGTCAACGTGGCGGACGTCCCGCGGCTCGCCGGCAACGTGTGCGTCGCGGAGCGCGTGCGCGCGTTTGACCGGCGCTACTGCTATTCTGACCCCCCCGTCGTCGGCATCAGTGACCTCCCCCAGCTGAAGCCGCTATCCACTGCGCGCTGCAGCAGCGCGCGGAGCTCTGTTGATAGTGACCACAGCGGCGGCGGCCCGGGCGCGGGCGCGCACGCGAGCGCGCCGCTGCCCTGGAGCGTGAGCACGAGCTCGCGCGTGCAGCTGCGGCAGCCGGCCGGCCCGTCGCCGGGCGCGGCGCGGCCGCGCGTCTCTCCGCTGCCGTCGCCGATGGAGTCGCCGCTGGCGCGGCGGCTGCAGGACAGGTCGGTCAGCGGGCGGCCCAGGGGCCTGGACCGCCTGAACGCCCTGATCGCCGCGGCCCGCGACGCGGAAACGCAGGCCAGGGCCGCCGTGGCGGCGGCGTCCTCAGCCGCGTCGGGGTCCCGCGTGACGCTGCCCGGCCAGTCGCCGCCGGGCCACATGTCTGCGCCCGCGGCTGTCGGCTTTGGCGCGCCCCGGCGCGCGCCCCGCTGACGACGGCAGAGGCCGCAGTGCGAGCCGCGGCGTGTGCGTTGTTGCCGCCAGTGTCGCCGCTGCTGGAAGCCGGCGGGGCGCGCACGCCACATGGCAGGGGCGGCGTGTGGCGGCGTGTTTGTGCGCGCTGCGTCTGTATCACCTCGAATCCGCAAGGGCACGGTGGCTGGCGGCGGCGAGCACGGTGTCTCTGAATTTACACCTTCTGGCAGCCTCGGCCGGGATGCGGGGTGCCCGAGCCGTGAGGTGCATAAGGGCACCCTCCGGGCTGCGCCTGGACCGCCCGCTTTGCGCCCTTTGAAAATGGATTGGTCGGGCTGCATTTCAGCCTCGTTTCCCGGGTATTGAACGCCTACACCGCAAACCCTTCATGCATGAAACATGAGCCGATACTTCTGCTTGATGCCCTCGTTGGCTGCCGCCCGCCTCGGTCAACTGACCGCTGTCTGTCATTTTGAACTAGAAAAAAAGTGAACCAGCCGCGCGGCAGCCTTACGGCTATCGAATGCGTGCGCACCGGGCCACGCTTGCACACCACGACTCGGCTACGGCCGTGGCCCGCCCGCCATTCCAGGACGGCCCGTGGCTTCTGACCCCACCCTCAGCGGTCTGTGCCTGGGCGCTGCTGCTGCTGCAGCAGCAGCCTTTAGGCCCAGAACTTTGAGGGGTATATGTTGTGCATCACGTATGCAAGCTGTGCCTGCCGTTGGCGGTGTTGTGTTCGCGCAGCCTCGCGTCGCGCACGCGCTTGGCACTTCTGCATTGACCACCATTAAATCGCGTTTGACTGGCAGCAGGGCCTTGCGCCAGAAGGAAAACAGGCACGGGCATATCTGTTGTAAGCCAAGGAATGGCTGGAAGTTTTCTGGGCCTTGTGGTGGCCGACAAAGCCAGAGAGCGGTCTCTTTTCGCATGTGACCGTGATATGGGTTGTTGGGCTGCAAGGGGAGCTGTCGACACTGCAAGAGGAGGCCTGCATAGATGACGTGATGCAGTACTGAGCAGTTATCATAATGTGGCGGCAGTTCGCCGTGTTTCAGGGTGGCCGCGTGCTGCACATCAGCATGTCAGGTGCCAGGTGCATTACGGTAGTGCACGGCCAGCACGCTCAATGACGTGCTGCGACACACCCATGTCTTGGCTCATTGCCACCCGCCGCTCTTGGTGCAAGCATATATCACTTTACATGTGTACGCTAATGCATCCAGCAACCTCGTAGGCCAACCTAGGGCCGAGTGATCAGAGGGGTATGGCAGGACTGGCGGAGCAGTGGTTCCGGATAGCGGACGAAGACCATGATGGAAAGATATCTGGTGGAGAGGCCGTGAGGTTCTTCACTCGGTCCGGCCTGCCGAAGGATGTGCTGGGACAGGTGAGTTGATGTGGACGTTGTGCTTCAGCGGACAACAGCAGCGATCGTGCGTCTACAAGCAATCAATGCTGCGTCATTGGGTTGACGGCCTTGATCCGATCGGCGCCGCGCGCTGCGTCGACGCTCGCCTGCGCCCTGGGTGCGCTGCTGCTGCGCTTGCAGATCTGGGACCTTGCGTCTGGGGGCGGCCCTGCCCTTAATCAGCTGCAATTCAATGCGTCGATGAGGCTGGTGGCACTGGCACAGGTGGGCTTTCTTTGGCAGCGCACCGCGCAGCCCTGAAGGTTGAACGCAAGCTAGGCAGGGCATCTCCCCTCCATTGGGAGCGGCACTGCGTTCATCCACATGTGCATGGGCCAATGGGCAACTGCAGTCGTGCAAGCACGGCAGCCCCATGCCTACATCATCTGCCTTCCTGCGACGCGTTTTTTTCAAACAGGCCCGCGGCGGCCGCCTCGCGCCCGATGAGGCGCGCACTGTCGCCATGGGTGGTGGCCCGCAGCTGCCGCTCCCGCATATGGCCGGCCTCCAGCCGGGGGCCCCGCTGGCGGGGCCGGGCGCCGGCGCCTACACGCTACAGGTTACCGGCTCCGCGCCATCCCCGGGTTACACGCCCCAGATCACCGGCGGTTACGCCCCGCAGCTGACGGGCACCAGCTCCTATCCACCGCTGATGCCGGGCGCGCGGCCCCCGATTCCGGCCGGGCCCGGGTATGCGCAGCAGCCCCCCGGCGGCGCCCCGCCGCCGCGGCCAGGCTTCCCCCCGCAGCCAACGGGCGGGTACACGCCGCAAATAACCGGCTACGCGCCGCAGCCGACCAGCGGCTACGTGCCGCAGCCCACCGGCGGCTACGCGCCGCAGCCCACTGGCGCGCCGCCGCCGCAGCCGCCGGCCGGGTACCTGGCGCCGCAGGTCACCGGCGGCGCAGGCATCACCCCAGGCGGTTACGTGCCGCAAGTGACGGGGTGGCCGCCCGTCAGCGCGGAGGACATGTCGCGGTACCGCGCCCAGTTTTCTCAGCTGGACCGCGACGGTGACGGCCTCGTGCAGGTGCGTGCGCACGCGCGCGCAGGCGTGTGTGTGTGTGTGTGTGTGTGTGTGTGTGTGTGTGTGTGTGTGTGTGTGTGTGTGTGCGTGAGTGTGTGTGTATGCGCGTTGTGGGGGTGGGAGGCGGGGATGGAGGTCTGCCCCCGCTCGGCATCACAGTATGCTGGCCGCCACGAGCGGGCCGCGGCGCACGCGCTGGCCGCAAGCCCCACGAGTTGGGGCGGGCGTCCCTGCGGGGCTCCCAATGGCCGCGGGTCCCAGGGCTTCGCGTCCTTTGGGGGCATGGGAAGGCGAACTTCGACTGATCCCTGTGCGGCCCAGCTTCAAACCCACGCAGCCACATCTGCCTTGCAAAACACACACACCCACACACATACACACACACATATACATCAACAGCACGCGCACACACAACTACGTACACAAACCACTCACATCTGTGAACAACACTGCGCATACAAAACCCTCATGTTTGCGCTCATATACACACACTCGCGGCCCCAGGGTTCGGACTGCTTCGGCGCCTTCATGCAGTCCGGCCTGGACAAGCGCGTCCTCAAGGCCATTTGGGACGCCGTCGCCGGCGCGTCTGGCTCCCTGAATGCGGAGCAGTTCGTCAAAGCGGTATACCTCATCGACTGCGCCAAGCGCGGCGT